AGCAGCGGGGAGGTCCGAAAGTGTCATTCCAGCCCTGACCAAAGCAGATAAATGCTGGGGAGTTTTGTAACTCTGTAGTTTTTAGGAAAATCACACAGGAGCCTCAGGATTGGTGGTAACCCCAAAGCTCTCCTTCAGAAGTTTAAGGTCTCTCAACTGTTTGTGGCAGTTCTGGGGCAGGGACCCAGGTCCTTGAGCCCTAAGCTGCTTTCTCACTCTCTACGTTTCACATCTGCCTCACTTTCTAGTCTCTCAGTGATCCATCTCTCAGCCTTCACCCAGTTCATGGTCTGTCTATGCGATAAATCCCACAGCCTGTTGAGAGAAGACTGCGGGTCAGGGTCGGGGGAAGGATGACCAAAAGTGGACCACTAAGCTGCTGTGCTCAAGCGGGGATGAAGCTGTAAGGTCATTCCAAATAAATAGAGGAGTCCCATCAGAACCAGCAAAAAAGTCTGGAGGAATGTGTGACGTGAAAGGAAGAACCTACTGGAAACCAGCCGACCTGCGTTCTGGTGCTGGTCTATCCTCACCCTGCAGGTGGTCTCAGGCAAGGGTCTTTCTCCTATGTGCCCAGTTGCTGGCTGTGAGCATGTTGAAGGGTGTGATTTCCGAGGTCCTCTCCTGCCTTCACAGGAGTTATCCTGTGAAGCAGGAAGTCTGAGACCACATACAAGAAGGAAAAGAGCTCACCTTGAGAGACCACCAGAGTGATGGTTTTGAGAACAGTGATCCAAGAGGAGTAGATTCCACATGAATAGCGTCCTGAGTCATTTACCATGAGCTCAGTCATGGTGACGGTGAAGCGGTTCAAGGTGGGATTGTCCCTGATGGAGTACCGAGAAGCCACTCTCCTGGAACTGTCCACTAACACCTGACATCGTCTTCCTGTTTGGCGGCACCAAACTTTCACTTTTGAATGTAGGTAATAATCGTACTCACATCTCACAGAGAGTGCCTCACCCTCCAGTCTGTGCAGCATCTGTGCCCAGGAGCCTGAGAATAAACCCACAGGTCAGGGAGCCCCTCATCTGCCACCGCAGGCTGGGAAGCAAAACCACCCTCCTCAGGGAGCACCCTCGAAGCGTCTGCACTGGAGGCCTCCAGAGCTGGCTTCTGACCTCACTCCTCTTTCTCTGCCCGTCCCTCCTCACCCACCTCATCTCCTCGTCTCCCCCTTCCCTCACCCTGTCCCCTTTCCCCAGCCCTTCTCTTGCCCCTCACCCGAGACCAGTAACACCAGCAGGACAGGCAGTAGCAGGTGTGTGGCTTCCCAGGCCATGGGTAGTCTTCTTGAGCCAGGGTGGAGGGAGGAAAGTGAGGGTGCAGAGGAGCCCTGAGGAGCCCTGGGCTTAGCCCCACCTCCCCAGCCTACACTGGTAGAATTGCGGAGGAAGGCCAAGGCCTCTGCTTGGGGAGCAGGTGATGCTAGAGCCTATATGAGGCTGTCCAGCTGCAGGCTCTTCATCGGGGCCTGGAAAGGCCTCAGCCCTGGACCTGGATCAAGGCTCCAGGGAGCTCTGTAACTACTGCCAGGCTCCCCTGGGCTCAACCTCTTCCCCCTTCTCAGGCCACCTCCCTCCCCAGTGGGGCTGGAGGTGGAGAGAGCTGAGAAAGCCCAGGAGGAAGCTATGGTGAAATAAGAACCTATTTCTCTCCTGTCTCTGTCTCTCCTACCACTTCCTCTCCAGCCTAAAGTTTCCCCTTTCCACCCAAGTAAAGCACCAGCTGGCTGAAGGTGGGTGACTGAGTTGTGGGGCCTTTGGGAGGTGTAACCAAAGCCCAAAGCCCCTCAATAGTCAGAGGCTTCATGCCTGGCCTACCTGGGAACTGGGGGTTTCCTCAAAGGGCAGAGAAGAAAGGAGACAGACTCGTTTCTGGGATGGAGGTACAATCGGAGTCCCTGGCCAGGGAGCAGGGTGAGAGAGCAAGCAGGAGAAGGGGAAGGTGGATACAGAGAAGGGGTGAGGATCTGAGAAGGGGATACAGGGCCCCAGCCCCAGGTCATCCCATGACCCCTGTCCCCCGGACACCGGAATCATTCCATAAGTGTTCGTCAAAAGACTACACTAAGCAAGGACATCTTAGGAATCACTGTGGTTGTGAGAATGCAGAGTTGCAGCCTGGGCTCCTGGAAACACACTGTGGTGCGGATTAGCACAGGAGGTTTAAAAGGCTCTTGGGACCAAGGTCTGGGGAAGTGCAGAGCAGGAGGCAGGGCAGGGCAGGGCAGGGCAGGGCAGGGCAGGGCGGAGATGGGATGCCATCCAGACCACCAGGAAATGGAGGCTACCTTCTGAGGAGTTGTGAAGACAGTAGAATCCCCAGGACTTCCCAAGTCCACTAGGGGGCGTCGGGCCTTTAGACCCTGCAAGGGTTAGGGGAGGTGGAGGGTTATGCGGGAAGGGTGTCTGGCTGTGGCAAAGCAGCTCTGCAGCTGAGGCAGCCCCAAAGGGGTTGGCAGAGGACAGCCCCCTTCCCTGGCTACTCCCAGCACTGAGCAAGAAGCCCATCGGTGCTGAAGGAGGAGTGGACAGCCCCGCGCAGCAGTCGCCGAAGCAGTCCAGTTCAAAGTGAGAAGCACTTTGCAGCCACGTGGGAGAAGAGCAGACGGATTCTTGCAGATAGGCTCCACGCGGAACATGCTCCCATGGATGCTGGCCTTCCTGTATCTGCTCTTGCCTCTTGTCCTGACCACGAACCTCAGGTGTGCTCATCCCCACAGCCTGCGGCTGAGGAAGCGCCGTTGCCTCACCTGCTGTCATAAGCAGTGTCCCTGCCTGTCTGATACACACCGCGGGGAACTCCCTGCCTTCTGTCTGCTGTGGATCTGGGTCCCCTGGAGCTCCAGGGAGAAGGGTGAGAGCAGGAAAGAGGACGTGAAAGGCTGACATTTTTAGCAAAATGTCCCGAGGAGCTGGGGAGGCGGGGTGTGCAGCTCCTTCACAGCACTCTGCTCATCAGTGTTCACGGGGCAGCAGCCTCCTAGGGTGAGCAACATGCACTGGTTCGGTTCACCTGGCTTCAAGAACCATCCATCTGGGCAAACAGGGCTGCTCGGGCCTTCACAGCTACCCTGTCTAACTTCAGACTTCTGCTAGGCACCCACCACTTGGTGCCTGACCACGACTGCCTCTGCCTCTCCCGGCTCCTTTCCAGTGGAGTCTTCCCAGGGCTCCCAGGGGCATGGCCTATAGTCTCTGCACCCACATTCCTGCAGGGATGGCTCACCTCCCAAATCCAACCTGTCTTCAGGCCTCAGATGGGGGCCCCTTCCTCCATGAAGCCTGCCTGACTACCCTGAGCCCGCAGGCGCCCATCTCTGAAGGACTCGGGCACGCCTTCCTCCTGCACTGTGGCATCTGAGCAAGGGCTGTGGTGAATCCAGCCATGCCACGTCGTCCCTTCTCAGAGGCTGTGACTAGATGGAGGTGGGGCTGGCTCCCTCCCTGGGCCCCATGGCCTGCTGCTCTCAGTGCTGAGTTGGGTGCTTGCGACTGTTCTGTGCCTGTCCTCCACCTGGGAGGTGACGAGAAAGGGATGCAGAGCTCAGCCTCATCTTCCTGTTCCAGAGGAAGGAACAGGGTCAGAGAGAAATGGGGTTTGCCAAGGCTGCGCCAATATGAGCCCATCCCCTCCTCACAAGAGGCCTTCACCAACAGGGCGGCTGTCATGGTGTCCCGGCATCCATGAAGTGAGGGTCCTTCAGAAGAGGACAAGCCATGGGACCAGCAGTTAGTGTAATGGCTATGTCGCTGGACTTCCATGTAGTCGACGGCGGTTTGCGTCCCGAACCCCATAGCTTAAAACTCATGCCGGGTGCGTGTGCGTGCGTGCCCAGGATCCCGAGAAGAGAATGGAGAAGGGATTGCAGCATGGCCATCCCCCCTGCGGGGTGATTTCTTGCTTTCTGTCTCTGTCTCTCTGTGTCTTTCTGGCGAGCGCATGCACCCTGTAGTGAAAACCTCTAAAAAAAAAAAAAAAAAAAAAAAATGGACAAGCCAAAGACACAGGGACCTAAGGTCTTAAATGCAGGAAGTGGAAAACAGCCTTAAAACTGGAAACCAGATGGGGCCAGCAGGTGGCGTAGTGGTTAAGGCACTGAACTCCCACATGGTTGACTACATTTTGAGTCTGGGACCTGGTGGCTTGAAACTCGGGCTGGGCACATGTGCGTGCATGCCCAAAATTCCAAGAGGAGAATGAAGGAGAAGGGATTGCAGCATGGCCATCCCCCTGACGGTGTGATTTTTCACTTTCTCTCCGTCTCCGTGTCTCTGATGAGCACACGTGCCCTTTAACAAAAATCTCTCCAAAAAATCAAATAAAAATGGGAAAGGAAGGCCAGTTTGTGGTGTGGTGGTGAAGGCAGCTGATCCCACATGAGTGACCACATGTCCTGGACCCGCTGGCTTGTGAAACACTACGGGCATGTGTGCGTGCCTGCTCAAAACCCTAGGAGGACCATGCAGGAGAAAGGATTGTGGCATGGCCATCCCCAAGGGAAGAAGGATTCTCACTCTCTCTCTCCCTCTGTCTCTGTTTTTCTCCAGTGAGTGCACATGCCCTATAGCAAATTAAAAAAAAAAAAAAAAAAAAAGGAAAAGAATGAAGAACGAAGAATGTAAGAATAATGAGGCATTACTTAGTTGTACAATGTTCACGTTTTGTTTTATCCAGAAAACAATCTTAAGAGGTAGGAATTATTGTTGCCTTTCACAAGAGAGGAAAACCAAGGCCCAGATAGGGTTAGTGACTTGCTTAGGGTCACACAGTGACAAAGTGGCACCACCAGTCCCTGTCCCTGACTCCTCCAGTGCTCCTCCCATGGGCATCTGGCTTTTGGGCAAGCCAGGGCTGCCAGTGGCACTGGTACAGTCACAAAGAGATGGGAGCACTTTGCCCCCAGGTGAGTGAAGCCTCTAGTTACCCACCACGGGGTGACCACCCTCTGATGGGGAGAATGGCTCTCAGCAGATTGCTGCTGGCCAGAGGTGGATGTCAATGTGAGCGAGTGTGCACGTGTGTGCGTCCTGGGACCATGTCTGTTTCTCAACCTGAATCTTTCCTCTACTGCCCTCTCCTGAACATAGGGAAGAGGTGTCTCCTCCCTGCTGTCCCCCAGGATTACCCCTGCCCCTTCTGTCCCGATCTCCATCCTGGAGAGTTCCTGCTGGGTGCCTGCTGAGACCCAGGCTGCATCACCCTCCTGACTATACAGGTTGCTCTCCCACCGTAAGGTCTCTGGCCTAGGGCTGAAAGCAGAGGCATCGCGCATCATACTTATCCCCAGAGGCTGTTCTAGTCACTCTGGGCTGGTGGACACCATCTCTGGGGGAGGAGCTCAATCTACATCCCCCAGTCTTCATTGCTGGCCATGGGGCTAGTGGTCTTGGCAAGAGGCCAAGTCTGAACCATGAGATGGTGAGATAGGAGCAGATCCCTGGGGCCACGGGGCTTCTAGCCAGAGGCTACTTGGGCTCCATTTTTCCTGACCACACTGGGCCAGTCCTCCAGGCTGTGGTGGACTCTGAATTATCTTTGCTATGTCACAGTGGGTTTTTCTCCCCAGAGGGCAGTGAGCCCAGGGAGTGTGATCCACCCTTTCTCTGGGCTGTGGCCTCCCCACGGGTGTCTGTGTGGTGAGTACCCTCCGTACAGAGCAGGGGCTCAGGAACCACAGGGTGTAGACTGCTGGAGGCCGCTGGGCCCTTGGTACCCTCCAGGAGCTCAGGCCTGGATCCTAGGTGCAGTAACTGGAGGAAGAGAGCCCCCGACTCAACCTCTGCACCCCAGTCTGGAGAGACACTAACCCTGAGGCCTAGGGGCTCTCAGCTTCCCCAGAAAGGGCCAGATGACAGACGGCAGTGGTAGGAGTATGGGCTCTGCAGGCTCCCGGGACAGGAGGGACAAGCAGCTGCAGACAGGGCAGGGCACATCTAAGGGTCCCCTGAGGCCAGACAGGGGGACCCTTGGATAGCTCTGCAACCCCCTGCTGCTGACCTATGGGCCCCTAGCTTAGATGTCACTGTTCCTTCTTCCCTTCCAGGGGGCAGCCTTGGGGCATCACTGCTTCTGGGCCCACAAGCCCTGACTCTCTTCCCCAAACACATGGGGAAGCTCGGGGGCAGCAGAGGGAAGCTGAGGGCACAGTGGTCCCAGGAGGGGAATGGTGGTCCCAGGAGGGGAATGGTAGCTCCAGCTTCTCCCTACCACTCAGCTCACTAGGAAGGCATTCCAGGAGGCAGGAGCTGAACTTGTGTGTGTCATCAGCACTCTCAGGCCCTCTCTGCCACCCAGTCGGGGCCTGGGGTCTGCGGCTCTGAGCACCCTCTTGGATGCTCTCCTGAGGGACTTCCTGCCTGGTGCCTCTGCTCTGGGCACCTCCCAGGTTTCCGGTTGCTCAGGAGAACACAGAGCTGCCAGGCTGCTGGCCCTGATGCGAGTGGATTGCAGCCTCTGCTTCCAGGAAGGCCCGAATCGTCCAGCACCTCGCACGTCCTCTAGTCTCATCCATTCCAGACTGGCCTCCGAGCACCGCTCCTCTTCCAGCCCCCCGGGGCCAGTCTGAGAGAAGCTCCCCACCCAGAGTTAAGTGGCCTCAGACCAAGCAGGCTTCCATGGGGGCTCCGGTCTTCCAGGCAGTTTCCTCCAGGATCTAGCAGGGTCACCGCACACGTTGTAGCCTACGTGGGACACAGAGAGAGTGAGGAAGCGCTGTACCCTGAGCAACATGCCTGAGGCCTGAGCCGGCCCCAGCCTCTCCTCTGGCTCTCCCTCTGGCCCCTGCCAAGCCATCCCCTTAGAGTTGTGCTGGGTTGTGCCTGCCTGCCCGCCCCACTCCCACTGCTGCTCACGGCTCCTCTGAGTGGGCACAGGCCGAGGGACATGCCTCAGTGCAGTTACCCAGGGCTCTACTCACTTCCCCTGTGCCTCTTCTTCCAAAAGCCATAGACCAGGATCAAGAGCACGGGCACCGGGAGGATGGTCAGCACCACCACGAGCACAGTGACGTAGGGGTGCAGCTGCCTGAGGAGTCGAGACAGGGTGGAGAAGGTGAGCCCACGCTACCCAGTGTGACCACGTCAGTCTGTACTGCCACAGGAGACAGCAGGACCAGGGGATGGCTCCAGCAGCAACCCCAAGGTACTTCTCTTCTCCCAAGGTACACCTTCCTCCTTGGGGACCCTGCTGAGGAGCAGCAAGGGAAGCACTTAGAGCTCTAGGGGGGCATCTCCAGGCAGAGGAGAACGTGTCTCTACTTCAGTACTTCTCCAAATACCTCAAATCTGTTCCAGGGTGAGACTCTAAGACCCCCAACTGTGGTGGAAGAGATCAAGATCCTTGCTCTCCTCCTCACAGGATCTGAGGATGCCTGTGCCCCACAGTCCTCTGCCTCAGGTGCTGTGGGTGCCTGGCCTGCATCTCCTTGCCTGGATCGCTTCCATGTACATGGGTCAATGGCACCTCTTTTTATTTATTTATTTTTTAATCTATCTTTTCTTTTTCAGCCTAAGGACTTTCTCTTGTCCCTGGAGCCTCTATACCAAATACACAGACAATCCTCTACATGACCAAGAGCAGTGGGTGTATAATTACCCCGGCTCCCTCCCCTTTAGGGTGTTGCCTCCAGGGGAGCTCCCAGTGGGATAAGCTCTTGCAGATGAAGTTCTTTTTACTGCCTACCTTCTTGGTCTCACTCCCTACCCACTTTCCAGTATTCCATAGAAGTCACAATTCCTCGTCTCAGAGTCTGCTTCTGGGGGAACCCCATTTAAATTGTCTCCCATTTCCCACTCTCTGCTCCCCAAGCAGCCTTGATGCCCTGTCCTTCTCCATTCTCACTCTTCCCATTCCCACCCCAACACCCTCCCCACAGCCATCCTTCATGTCACTGCCAGGCTCCCCCATCCACACTGCATTCCTGGGGAGGAGGAGGGGAAGGTCAGAGGTAAGACCTGCACCCTGAGGTCTGCTCAGGCACCAAGAGCTGGTGTCACATCTGGCAAGTGTCACATAGCCCCCGGCCCCACGGGTACCTGGTGGAGGGTAAATTGTTGAGGGGAGACCTGCTAGTGAGGCACATTCTCGTGGCAGGTGAGCTGCTGCTGAGGTGCCTGGACCTGGTGGGGTTGAAGTCTAGGCCAGGAGAGGAGGCTCTGGCATGGCTGGGAGACGCAGTCACTGAGTGGGATCTAATGGTTCTCCTGGAACCAGCGGTGGTGGTGGCGCCAGTACCAGTGAAGCTGTAACGTGTCACGGAGGTTGGTCTGGTGGCCCCCAAGGCAGTGGAGGGCAAGAGTCTGGCCAAGGTGAGGAGTCCAGGTGTGAATACCGTTGTGCCAGTGGTGAAAGGGGCTTCAGGGCAGAAGGTGGGGGCTTGGCCTGCCGTCACAGCAATTCCACTCCTGAGGATGTTGGCCAGATGTGTAAGAGGATTGCTCCTCTTAGTTGTGGAAGCTGAGGGATCAGAGGACGGAACATTAGACTGAGTTGGGGGACTCAGCAGTGGAAGCAGATCCTGGACACCCACATGGTCATCTGGACATGGAGGTGAGGACCTGTATCCTCTTCCCCTCCTTGACCCTGGGCTTAGGATTCTGCTCTGCTGAGTATGCATTTGGTCAGAAGGCGATACCTTGGGCCCCTCATGTCAGCCAGCTGCTCCCAAAGGACACCCCTCTCCCCATTCCCATCTCTTCTGTGCTTCTGGACTGACTCCTGTATCTGTGGGTCAGAGAGATTTCTATAATATGGTGTCAAACAGGGACTTTTCCAGCTGCTCTTAATTAGGGTCAAGAGATAAGGAATTCAAGGGCTCCACATCCCAAAGAAAGCTTCAAATTTGGGTTCCATCACTTTCCTTGAGGCTTGCTAAGACTCACCTGAATGGGTCCTGCTCTCATCATCAACCCAGCCTATGTTCCAGAGGAGGCCTGGGGTTTCCATGGTTGATGAGGAGGGAACGAGGTTGTGAGGCCTTGATCTGGAAGGTTGTGTT